TAAACAAACACATGCACACACAGGAACTTACACACACACATATATATGTATATATATATATATATATATATATATATATATATATATATATATATGTGTGTGTGTGTGTGTGTGTGTGTGTGTGTGGTGTGTGTGTGTGTGTGTGTACACACACACACACACACACAACACACACACACACACACACACACACACACACACATATATATATATATATATATATATATATATATATATTATATATATATATATAATGTATATCAGGGGTTCACAAATCAGTAGCCCGTAGGCCCTGGGTTATCAGAAGTAGTACGGCCGCCGACGACCAGCCTTGTCGCATTCGCTAAACTGCCTCTTTAGCGCTCTGTTTCGTCACCCTGGTGTTTTATTTCCTCAGGAGATTGAAAAGAGCACTCCATTAAATGTTCTTTTATTCTTCTATTTTACATGCTGGGCTGCCAAATGTGGATGCCATGGAAACCCAATGGGTTACCATGGCAATTTCTGATTTATGCACCCTGTATATATATCTATATATGTATATATATTATATATATAGAATATATGCTTATAGATATGAATATGCATGTTTTTTTTCATACACATTTATTCCCGCCGCGGCAGTTGCCAACTTCGATATTACAGCGAGAAAACATATTGCATTGCAAAGTCAAAGGATTGCATTCATGTATGTACATATATTTTTCGCAGCTTTTCATTCAACTGCAGGACTTGAGCCTCAATTCATTACAGGGGCTATTTTGGCAGAGCCATCCTTGCTTGTTTCGGTGCCCTTCCTAATCAACCACAGTCCGGGAGTTATGTATGCATATATATAATGATATATATATATATATATATATATATATATATTATATATATATGTGTGTGTGTGTGTGTGTGTGTGTGTGTGTGTGTGTGTGTGTGTGTGTGTGTGTGTGTGTATATATATATATATATATATATATATTATATATATATATATATATATATATGCATATGTATAACAATATGTTTTGTATGCATATATTTATAAATACATACACAATTGTAAACATACGCATACATATATATATATATATATATATATATATATATATATATAATATATATATATATATATATATATATATATATATATATATATATATATATATATATATATATATACAAGTATAATTTTAGGTGGAAGGATAGTTTAATAATCAGATAGATAGAGAGATAGACAGATAGATAGATCGACTGACGAATACATATTAGATATCCTTCAAAAGAGCTATTTCTCTATCTGATCGCGTGCGTACTTGTGTGTGCAAAAACACACACACACACACACACAAATGAGTTTATATAAATGTGGTATCTGTAATCAGTGACATTCGTCTTATGTGCCTTTTTTGTATTGCCGAGTCATGTCCGTTAAAAGGCTGCTGGAACGAGCCCACTTTTATTGAACAAGGAAAAATCAGGTTCTATTCATATCCGAACGATACTCAATGAAACGAATTACATTAAAAAAAACGACAAAGAGGGGGGGGGGGGGTATCACAGTGGTGTTTACTGACCAAAGGTTTTTAGTGTATGATAAACTTTTCCACCATACATTCTACAGCAAGGGTGGGCAATTAATTTCTACAAGGGGCCACCTGAGAAACCAACGATAATTTGAACTTAATTCTGCTTCTTTCTTCTATTGTAAAATGCACAAAATTATATATCTAGTGCATTATATATTCAATAAATTATATATTTAATAAAATATATTTAATAGATTATATATTTACTGTTATATATTTACGAAATTACATATTTACTAAATTATATATTTACGTCCTGTCCTCTCGTGGGCCGGACAGGGACCCACAAAGGGCCGGATGTTGCCCGCGGGCCGTAGTTTGCCCAAGTCTGTTCTACAGCACGCAAGATTTGTTTGTCAGTATGCATCAAACAATACTGTATTTGTGGGGTATTACTGGTATCTTAGACAATGATACTATACAGTCATAAATATATACTGTACATACATAGAAAACTGCAAATGCCCTATGAAGTTTTTGGTTTTCTGAAGGACACTGGAAATGGGTATAAATAATCACCTCAGGTAATATATTGAACTAAACCGCCGAGGGAAACTTTAGATAATGTAAATATCCGCATGAGAAGAGCGACCTTGTACTCACAGCTCCATGCACGGAACACAAGATGTCATCTCATGACATGCTGTTGCCTAGAAAAAGAATATTATTTTCTATACGGACAAGTGCATAGAATAAAAAAGTAATGAGTACGTACATGTACATGTGTACGCTAGTGTCATGCACGGTTTTCAAGCACTTACGCTGTTAACTGGAACTGTTGTTCATGGTCTCCACAAGTCTGTTATGAGTAGGAGTAAATGTACAGAACCTGTTCCGAAGGCTTGTGTTGCACGCCATTTGCTCCGTGGTGTATTCTTTGGACTTAAATCTGTGTGTGTGTGTGTGTGTGTGTGTGTGTGTATGTGTGTGTGTGTGTGTGTGTGTGTGTGTGTGTGTGTGTGTGTGTGTGTGTGTGTGTGTGAGAGAGAGAGAGAGAGAGAGAGAGAGAGAGAGTGAGTGTCTGTGTGTGTGTATGTGTTTGTCTGTGTGTGTGGGTGTGTGTGTGTGTGTATAGATCGACAAAATAGAGATGGAAAATGTATTGCTACAATCACAGATACGGATATAGATATAAAGTGCGACATATAGATATCTTTATATCTCAATAGTAATAGATTGATAAAGAGATGGGTAGAAAAATAAATAGATAAAGAAACAGGACACAGATACAGGTATCAATACAGATGAAATATTTAAGCCTTATTTAACTCAAATCAAGCCTCATGAGTTAATCTTCTTTTGCAAAGACCTGCTTGACAAGAAGCCATTATCTCTATTAAACAACTGTTAGTTCAAAATGGAATGGCGTAATTACCGAGACTGGCTAAGGCTGAAAAGACGTTCACATGATTAAACAATTTTCTCTGGTCGGGGATGTATTTTTTCTTCCGTTTTGCCTCCACGTTAACAAAAAATATTTGACAACTCAAGGCCAAGGCTGACGCGTAAGCAAAACACTTTGTGAAAACAGACTGCATTTGCTCTGCTGAAACTGGCAGCCGAAAGCGAGGTTCTTGGCCCTGGCTCCCACGGCACGCCCCGAGCTCGCCTCTCCGGGCAGCTGCTCTGTAGGCCTAAGGATACGGAACGGTACTGTTTGCATTCACACACACACACACACACACACACACACACACACACACACACACACACACACACACACACACAATATATATATATATATATATATATAAAACACACACACACACACACACACACACACACACACACACACACACACACACACACACACATATATATATATATATATATATATATATATATATATATATATATGTGTGTGTGTGTGTGTGTGTGTGTGTGTGTGTGTGTGTGTATTGCACTTATGCACCTATGTCTATGAATGTACATACACACGTTCACGTATGCTTGTATGTATGCGTGTATTTTCGTATGTACGCGTGTGACTACATGGGTGTAAGTATATATCAGAATACTGCTCCTGTATCTCTGCAGCGCTGACCAGCGTTTGAGACGGCTAGGAAGAAATTGTCGGTAAGGGTCGAAAGAAAATTATAGGAGACCGGATTCAGAATGTCTTGATATATGATCATGTCGCTGATGTTGATGATCATCTCTGGGATTTTTTCAGGCTGATAGATCAATATGCGTGTGTGTGTCTGTGAGTCTGTCAGTGTTAGAAGACGGGGCTGGCTCAGGATCCGTCGGGAACAGATCCTGGCCACGACGGACGTCTTCCGAGCGGCCGCCACTCGATCAACTAAAGCGGAGCTCTATTCATCCTTCAGCTGCTGCCTCCTTGATCCCTGGTCCGACTTTCCTTCTCAGACAGCAAATGCATGTTCACTCTACATGGGTGAAGATAGAAGTCAGTCACGATAGTCGCTAAAACATGGCAAGAATTTGCAAGGCGTCCGAGTCATATGACGTGGTATTGACTTCGGTGTGAGGAACATCTTCAAAACCATTCTCTACCTCTATAAACCTCTATTGTATAACCTTACATCAAATATATCAAAGGAAAGGCTGTGTATCTTGATTTGTTGGTATAATTCAGGCGATAAGACAAGTAAATGCCCGTGATCATCATTATCCAGTTGTCTGAGATTCGGACCATGCGAACACAGCTCACTCGCGGTGGATCTGATAAGACGCAGAACGTCATGCAACTTCCACTTTTCACATGGAGAACTATGTAGGCTTATGCATAAAACATGATTGACTGTATCTGAATGAACAGCCTTCCGAAGCGAAGAGTGATGATAATAAACAATATAAGTTGCAGAGTAGTAGGGTGTTTTTTTCCATTTTATTTGAATTTCCCAGTTTTATTTTTAATCAAAAATTAAAAATGAATATGGAATATTTTTTCTATTAGCCTTTTTATGTGAAATCTCTTTGAATGTCTGTAGCAACCATGAGGCAATGTCAAACATGTATCAGGGTTCCGGGATGCTGCAAAAAAGGCCTATACCGAACATTACAACAAGAAACATTTCCCTACAAACGAGCTGATGACCATTAAGTATTTCTCTGAGATACAATGCTCTACGCTCCCGGTATATACAACCACATGTAACAATGTACATTTCACTTGATACTTTCTGTACGGCAAAATCAGCCGGTTGGTATTCTGGCTTTATTGCGTTGTGTAAAGGAGGGGATCAAAGTGGTAACTAATATTCTTTGTGATATGTGGTCCATTTATGAAAGATATACGAGTGAGACAGAGAGAGAGAGAGAGAGAGAGAGAGAGAGAGAGAGAGAGAGAGAGAGAGAGAGAGAGAGAGAGAGAGAGAGAGAGAGAGAGTAAACCTATACATAAAAGAATACATTGGAAATGAGAGAAATGTTCACCCAAAGGCGTCCGCCCGCACATACCTTCATGAGGATCTCGCCAATCTCCCCCGGCTTGAGCGACGCCTTCCCGGCCGCCACCTGCTCCCCTGCGAGGGCGAGGCCGACGCGGATCGCCAGCGGCTGCGACGTGTGGATGGCCTGCACCACCACGCGGTACACGGAGCCCGGGATCACGGTGCGCCCCGCCGCCACCAGCCACGTGCTGAGAGAGGGAGACGCCGTGAGTGGGGGGAACGGAGCACGCAGGGCTAGGGAGTTTTACTTGTGTGTTAGTGAATACATGCATATAATTTTCACACCCACCCACACACAGACACACACACTCATATACATGCATATATATGTGTGTATCTATATTCATACCAAGGTATCTATATATGTATATCTATAAACATATGCACATATTTACATGATAAACATATAATGATAAAAGTAAATACTAATAACAATAATCCTTATAATGGTGATAATGATAATGATGATGATGATAATCTGATAATAATAGTAATAATGATAATAATAATAATCATTATTATGATAATGATAATAATGATAATGGTTATGATGATGATGATGATGATGATGATGATGATGATGATGATGATGATGATGATGATGATGATGATGATGATGATGATGATAATGATGATAGCAATACTACTGCTACTGCTGCTACTACTACTAATAATGATAGGAATATCAATAATAATATTGATAATGATGATAATAATAACAATGACAATAATAATGATAATAATAATAAAAATAATAATAAAAAAATAATGATAATAATAATGATAGTAACAAAAAACTGAGAGCGCACTCCTCCGCCAAGGCAATAGGGTCACTGATGCAGTACAATTATTCACACGGAGAATTACATTAAAATCCCGTCCGTTTACTTCTTGGCGGAGGTAATAGAAGTAGTGATAATAATGATAGTTACCCCTATGGCCCAGACAACAGGGGTAACTATGCAATCATAAAAAAGTCCTGGATCCGGTTCACCACCAAAACGTAATGGCATCTAATTTAGGCTGAAACAGAAAAGTCTGTTCATAACTTTTTGTTACCCTGCTAACCAACAAACAAACGACCTAAACAGCGCTACCAAGAACATAACTTTGGCGGAGGTAACAATGCTAATAGGAAAATTATGAAATAATGATAACGATGATGAGAAAGTGATGAAAATAATAATGAATAATATTAATTATAGCAATAATGGTAATAATAATAATAAAAAACAAAACAAATGCAGGGTCTGTCTCTGAAATCAGACGTATCCGAATGTGGCAATGAGGCATATTGACGAAAAGGTTATTTTTGAAAATGGCGCATGGTTGAATAAAACATAATTTTTCGTTTCTTAAACACGCCCATTGCCTGGACCACCTGCTTCTGGTCTAAATGCATGTGTGATAAATCAGTTTATCTTTGAAGCAGCAGTATGGAATGTGAACCGCCTTCCCTTGAAGCCTGAGAGTTGGCCCCTTTTCCGGAATAATAGTAAAAAACAGGCAACCCACAAGATGCAAGAAAATGGCTTTGATTCTATGCTTCAGATATTTGGCAGAAGCCGTTTTATCTCCATATTTTTCCGTGGTCGTTTTCGTAGTCATACTATAATATAACTACAAAAGAAAGGGGATAATGCACACAATTCCATGTAAATACACCTATCTTGATCAAACTATATATGTATATATATATATATATGTGCTGCCTCCCACCTATAAAAGACCCAGCCCCCGCACACACATCTATATCTATGTATATATAAAAGTAGATATGAGCACGTGCGAATGTGTGTTTGTGTAATAAAGGTGAGAGGTAAATAATTCATTCACTCTTAAGCTGTTAAAAAGAAAGGAAAAATAAAAAGAATCTGTTGTTTCTGATAAACGAGACTGAACCGCGAGCAGGTGAACATCCCATCGAATCAGCATAAACAGCTACATGAATCCTCGGAATGTGGTTCTGGGCGTCCTCCGCCTTTTAAGACGACTTTCCTCGTAATAAAATTAGGGGATATGTTGCTTGTAACCTATTGCTCATCCGATGTTCATCCGATAGACATCGACCCCAAAACATTGTTTCTTTCCTTCCTGCATATTTTAAGATTTTGTTCAATACTGTCTCCGTTGACGAGTTCTTATCGATCGACTGTAATTAACAATGAATACAATAGCTTTTGCCAATTATTGGGTCAGCAATGTGCAAGTGCGTTTCTAGTCGCAGTCGCCGACAGCCAGATCAGGTGCATCATCGACAGATTGAACGTGTTGTAATTCTGCCTGATTGAGTGAATGACTTTAGCAACGCCATACCTTGCCTCACGCCCCTCCGCTGTTTTGCAACACCTTTGCAGGCGCGGCCGGGCACGGGGCGGGCGGCAATGAGTCCGGATCCTCTTTCTAAGAATTACAAAGATCTCTTGGGTAACCGCCAGCTAAGAATATGGAGTTGTTCAAGCGAGTCGACGCCAGCTTTTATATAAAGAAAGGACATCTAAGAGATATAAATATTTGTCCTAAATATATACCGAAAATTATAAAAACTATTCAAATCTTTACCTTTATCCTCCATTCCATTTATAATATGTCATGTCACTGTTAACGTCATTATACTGCTGATTTCTGTTGTTGTTATCCTGGTGGTCCTAATAAAAGTTTCAGTGAACCATGTAATGTGGCTTAACT